ACCCCCTCGTTCATCTGTGACGGGCCTCGGGCTCTTCACCCTCCTCTCCAGTCCCGTCCACGTCCCTTCGCTCCCGAGTCTCGTCCGTTTCCCTGGCTTCCGTCTCCTCGTCTCCCGGGGTGAGGCGGCTCTGGTGGGCTGGCTTCGAGTTTCCACTTTAGGAAAAAGTCTGGCTCGGCGGACTCCTAAAATAGACCTGCAGCCCAGGCTCCCTGTCTGAATTCCAGGTCGTCACCGCCGGTGACTTGTACGAACCTACTGTGTCTCCAGATCTCCTGCCCGTCATTAGTTCCAGGTCAGCTACCCCCCACCCCGCGGGGACAAGCCAGGGGGCCGTTCAGCACCCCTCGATTCCTCATCCTCACCCCTAAACTCGCCATGCACAGACCCCCTTCCCTCGCCACCTCCGTGGTCTGCGGTGCCTCCGAATTTTACCCCCCCCCCCCAGCTCCGTGCTCTGGTTCTAAACAGGAACATGTGGTCATCCATCGCTGGCCGGCGTCCCGTCTCCCGGGGCTCTCTACGCCCCTCACACGGCCCCGGGGGCTGTGTGTGCTGGCCTGGCCTCTACCCCAGGGCATGGGCTTCTTCTGCCCAACATGCTCCTTTTCTGGCTCTTTCTCAGCCCGACATCTGTCTTCATTCAGATGGGTGCCTCTTCCTCCTGACTCTCCTGGGCTTCCCTGTTCTTCCTCCTTAAGCACTGGAGTCCCCCTAACCCTCCTGCCCTGAGAGCCCGTGAAAATGGCACCTTCTCGGAACCATGGCGCGGCGCCAGGAGCTCTTCACAGAGGGGCCGGGACAGCCCAGGGTAGGCAGGAGATGGTGGGATGAGGGAGAGGCCGAGGGAGGCCGGGGGTCTTGGGAGGGGAAGGGAGGGCTGCAGAGGGGGCCAGCATTCCCCGCCCGCTCTCCTCTAAGGAAGAAGATGACGGGCGGCCAGGGCCCGCTAAGGCTCACTGTTTATCTTTAGATTTCTGAGATAGGATCTTGCCGTGCGGCTGAGGCTGGCCTCTGCTCCAGATCCTCCCTGCCTCAGCCTCCCCAGGTGCCAAGATCACAGGTGTGTGCGTGTGTGTGTGTGTGAGCGTGTGTGTGTGTCACCGTGCCCAGCTCAAGCTGTTCACGGGGGACTTCTTTTCAGCTGGGATGTGAATGCTGGTGAGGCAGAAGGTTTCCCAGCTTGGTAAACTGAGGCACCTTCAGGGCCAAAGAACGGGTCCAAGTTAGAGATGTTGGCTCTTGGAAAAACCGGCCCAGGCAGACGGAGTCTCTGTGCTGGCGTTGCCTTCAGCCCCGGGTTCCCGGAGCCAGGCACGCTGCCCACACACTGGGGGTGACAGGCCTTGGGCTCCTGGTGGGGTGGACGTTAGTCTACTGCCACCAACACCGCGCATGCATGCGCACAAGGAATCTCGCACCAACACTGCTGTGCACGCGTGCAAGGAATCTGGAAACAGGAGGAATGTCTAGGCCCTGGAGATGGAATGAGTGCCCACGGCGAGAGGCTGAGCTGCAGTCCAGTGAGGCCTGGCAATACGGCGGCCAAGCTGCCCTCTGCTGCAAGGCATGCTGGGACTGGCTGTGGGGGGGGTACGGCGGCCAGGCTGCCCTCTGCTGCAAGGCATGCTGGGACTGGCCATGGGGGGGGGTACGGCAGCCAGGCTGCCCTCTGCTGCAAGGCATGCTGGGACTGGCCGTGGGGGGGGGCTGGCCAGGCTGCCCTCTGCTGCAAGGCATGCTGGGACTGGCCGTGGGGGGGGCTGGCCAGGCTGTCCTCTGCTGCAAGGCATGCTGGGACTGGCCGTGGGGGGGGTACGGTGGCCAGGCTGCCCTCTGCTGCAAGGCATGCTAGGACTGGCCATGGGGGGGGGGTACGGCGGCCAGGCTGCCCTCTGCTGCAAGGCATGCTGGGACTGGCCGTGGGGGGGGCTGGCCAGGCTGCCCTCTGCTGCAAGGCATGCTGGGACTGGCCATGAGGGGGCGCCTGGCTCTCACAGGGATTCTGCTGTGTGTCACTCGAAGTCTGGCAGAAGATGGCCAGACTGGGAGAGGGCGGGGAGGATGGGCGAGACCATCTGGCGTGGTGAGCAGCTGCGTGGACAGTGCCAGGACGGACAGAGGGAGGACGGCAGACGCAGCTGCGTCCTGGGAAGGAAGCGGAGCCAGGGCTGTGCTGCCCGCGCATCGATGCCCGTGGCCACCGAAGGGCCAATGGCCATTAACTTTAAAACATGGCTTCCTCGGAGCATTTTAAGTGGTCTCCGGGGCCTCGCGAGGCCGCTGGCATCGACGGCCTGCGTGGGACACTTTGAGACAGGCCCATCCAGAAACTTCCATGTATCCTCGGCCTTGGAATACCCTGGGGTCTTCATTTGTCTGGCCACATGAAAGTGAGCCCCGAGGCTGCAGACGGTTCCAGAAGCCAGAGAGTCTCCTCTTCCTCCCACTGTCCTCTGGGCCTCCTCTGGGGGGGGGCCAGGGGAGGGGAGCTGAAGCGGAGGCTTTGATCCCGAGAGCTGCGGGGGACCAGGGTGAATCTCTTCCCCTCGGGGGAGTGAGTCAGAGACACGGAGCACCGGCTCGTCTTAAGTGTCCAGAAGCTGGAAAGGTTGCTGGCAGGCCCTGCCTCTTCCCCCCCCCCCCCCCGGCCCCTCCACAGCCCCACGGCTGGCCGGCACCGGCTGGCCGGCACGGATCCACAAGTCTCTTCTTGGTTCTTGCCGATCCATCTTCCCTGGTCAATCCCAGGGCTGCCATCTTTCTCTCTGGGATGTCATCTCTCTGGGATGACGCTGTCGCCTCTCTGGGACCCACGCCTTTGTTGAGAGCGGACTCTCCGTGTCTCCCTCCCTGGGCACTGCGTCCCCTCCACGGTGAGGTCAGGACCGTCCACACAGGCGGCGTCCCGGGCCCTCAGCTCCCAGCCCTCCTGGGAGGAGTTCCGGTGCCGGGTCAGTCCGGTGGTGCTGGCTGCGTGGACTGGTCACCATCGGTGGCATCTCAGTAAGACCGAGTTCTCCAGCCCACAAATGCCTCCACTTTATTTGCCTTGCTTCGGTCCCTCTCCGTAAAGATCTTTTACAACTTTGTCTTTGAAAAAAAAAAATCTCAGCTGGTTTCCATGGGATTGATTTATCCTTGACTGCCGGACGTTTCCCCCCCTACGGCTTATTTGTAAAGGCGTCTAATTCTTTTCCCTCTTCGCTGATAGACTTCAGCTCATCCCGGGAGGACAATCCGGTTTTCAGTCACTTTCTGACGATTCCAACGAAACCTCTTTTGCCCTGATGGCCGTGGTCCAGCATGACCGCAGCCCGGGAGGCTCAGGGCTCCTCCGAGGGTCCACCTCCCTTTCTCTAGGGAAGGAGAAGGCCTCGGGCTTGCTTAGGTCCCCAAGGACGTGGTGCTGGGGCCTGACGGGAGGACCTGAGCCCCGAGGAAGGACGCCCGGGAGAGGCCCAGGTTGCCCTGCCCCCTTGAGCCCAGCTAACGCAGGCCGCCAGCCCGAGAACCTCCAGAAAATGGGAACCTTTTCCTCGTCGTCAGTTCGTTGCTTCTGGCATTTTATGGTAGTCATAAGAAGCCGCGTAGTAACATCCATCTTCCACTTCCTTCTTTGGGGCAGGGCGGGGGGGGGGGAGAGGACAGCAACCGCTTAAAAGTACAAACGCACCCGTGCCATACACCAACACGCGTGCCAGCCTAAAGCCCGGCCCGGAATCGTCACTCACGGGGAGGTATGAAGCTGCTGGGCAGCCTCCAGCAGAGCCTGAAGTGGTTTCTGGTTTGTTTCTTTTTTTTTGTCTGGAAAATCTGAGCTCCCTTCCTGCACTCTATCCCTCCAGCACGAATGTAGCTCAGCGACAGGCCGGGCCCGGCTGGCCTCCATCCCCTTCTCAGGCTCTGGCCAGAGACACAAACTCACCCTCTGCCCTCAGGGTATGAGTACCTCCAGCCGTCCGGCGCGGCCCTGCCCCTCCTCTGGGAAGAGTCTCCCGCGTTTGTCCCCGGCTGGGAAGCCAGCCACGGAAGAAGGCAGGAAGCGCGCCACAGTCTGGCGACTGACCCGTAGCCGCAGCTGCTGGGAGCCGGCTGCCAAGCCATCACCCGAGCTCATGAGCCGAGTCCGAACGCCACCGCAGGCAGGCTCCGCGGGCGGCCGCAGCCAGGAACACCTCTGAGTCCACTGCCGGGCGACTCAAGGCGTGGAAATAGTCAAACCGCATGCCTCACGACACCTGGAGAAAGCCATGCCGGCCGGCACCCCCTCCCCCACACCCCGCGCTCCCCGCCCTGCCCAGCCGCGTCGCCATAGCGATGGCCGGAGGCCCCCAGCGCCGTCCGACCATCTCCTCTCCATTGGGAGACCGCAGACCCCGGGCAGGGGGCTGACCTTGGAAGGGGTATTTTTTACATCACCCGACCAACATGATGTCGGTGGAGGTGTCTCGTTCTCTGAAAATTAGCCAGAGATTTGACAGAGAGGAAGAGCAAGAACGGTGACAAGACCGTCTGTACAGCTTTTCTTTCTGGTCAGCACTGGGATTCGAACTCAGCACTCTATTGCTCGAGCCCCGCCTCCGGCTCCCAGTCTGTCCTATCTTCTTCGCCTCGAAAGCTCGTTTCCCTACAGGGCACCTGACCTGGGGACCCGCTGGAGAATGGCCCGTGAGCTGTGGCGCCGTGAGACCCATTCGCAGACCCCCCCCCCCCCCCCCCGTAGCTGACCCACACGGCCAGAGGATGGAAGGGGTGGAGCAGAGCCCTGTGTGCGTGCGGGGCCGGCGCGCAGAGGTTTGGCTTGCCAGTCTGTGGGAAACGGGAGGGGAAGGGCTGGGGCTCGGCCTGGTGGGGCCTCCACTTCCCGGGGGGGCTGGGGAACCCTGGCTGGGCTCTGTGTCAAGGAGTTGGGGCCTGTCCCCCTCTTGGCCAGGTGTGCCCTCCTGCCCCCAGCCCCTCCCCCTCCCCCCGCCCCCGGTCTGTCCTCAGAGGTCTACCTTGGGTTTGAAGGCGATGAGCTTCAGGATCATCTCCACAGTGAAGAGGCCGGTGAACAGCATGTTGAGGATGTTCATGGCGGATTTGAACAGGCAGCTCTGGCCGTAGTGCTGAGCGGAGAGAAGGGAGGGGCGGTGAGGGAGAGGCGGGGGGGCGGGGGGGGGAGGGCAGGCAGGATCCCCGGCTCCTCTCTCCCCCCTCCCCCCCTCCCCTGGCCCGGGACTGACCTGCATGGCCAGGCAGATGGTGTTGAGCAGGATGAGGACGAACATCAGGTACTCGAAGTAGGTGGAGTTCACCACGTACCACACCTTGTACTGGTGCTGGTTCTTGGGGATGTAGCGCCGCAGGGGCCGGGCCTTGAGCGCGTACTCCACGCACTGTCGCTGGTGGGGCCACAGAGGGGAGGGGTCAGGGGGCGGGTGACAGGCAGAGCCGGGACCCCCCCCCCGTGCCGGGACCCCCCCATGCTGGGACCCCCCCATGCCGGGACCCCCCCCATGCCGGGACCCCCCCGGGCAGGGACCCCCCCATGCCGGGACCCCCCCCCCGTGCCGGGACCCCCCGCATGCCGGGACCCCCCCCCATGCCGGGACCCCTCCCATGCCGGGACCCCCCCGTGCAGGGACCCCCCCCCATGCCTGGACCCCCCCCATGCAGGGACCCCCATGCCGGGACTCCCCCCGTGCAAAGACCCCCCCCCCACCGTCTCCCGCCCCCCTCCTTCCCCGAGAGTCACCTGGTTCTTGTCCAGCTCGCAGTTCTTATACTCTTGCTCGCCTTGCTCCTGGAAGGTGACGATAACGAAACCCACGAAGATGTTCATCATGAAGAAGGCGATGATGATGATGTAGATGATGAAGAAGATGGAGATCTCCACGCGGTAGTTGTAGATGGGGCCCTTGTCCTCGGTGTGGGAGTCGATGGAGCGGTACAGCAGCCTGCGGGAGGAGACGGCGTCGGTCCTTGGGGCGGCCTGGGGTCAGGGGAGCGTCCGGGTTCAAGTCCCGGCCTTGGACAAATCACTCAGGCTCTTTGGGACACAGACTCTCGCTCTGTGAAACGGGACAAGAGCTCCTGGCCCTCCAGGCCGCTGATGTAATGCGTACAAAGGTGCCGGGAGCCGGGGGAGCCGTTGAAAGGTCACACGCACCGCTGCTTCCCCTTCACACACAGACACTCGGGTAAATATTGAAACAGCGGCTGTGCGGGGAGCGGGCGGGAATGAGGAGGTGGAGGTCAGACCAGACATGGGCTACGTCCGACAGGAAATATCCATCCGTTTAGACTAAAACAATAAGTATCGGTGTGAGCGTGGCTGCCCGTGTCGCCACCGCGGCCCATGCACCGCGCACGGCGCTCTGCTCAAGGGGTTTGCGTGTGTCTGATCCCCACTCAAGCCTGGGCTCTGCCCTGCGCCCCTGAGTTCCCATCCTCCGTCAGCCCGTGGGCGACGCGCAGACCCCTGGCTCGGGAGGCCGTGCGGGGGTTGGGAAAGGGAGCAGACATTGCTCGTGTTGGGTTGAAGTTTCCAACGCGTTCACGTCTTAGGCCGCGGTGTGGCTCCGTGGTAGGGGGCTGGCCGAGCGAACGCACGCAAGGCCCTGGGTTTGATCTCAGCACACACGCGCGTTCTGATCTCCTAGAAGAGTCGTTACCACGGGTACGGGAAGGCCGCCCTGGCGGGGCCGGGCGGGGGCAGGCAGGGCGCCCCTCTGGGAGGGTGGTGGGCAGGGTTGGGGACATCCGACGCCGGGCAGTGGGCGGCGGCCCCGGTACTCACTCTGGCCACCCCTCGAAGGTGGAGACGGTGAAGAGGGCCATCATGGCGGTGAGAACGTTGTCAAAGTCGAACTTGCTGTTTTCCCAGCTGCGGGGCTGGATGATGGGGTGGTCCACCTCCCCATCTTTGTAGGTGATGTAGTTGCCCCTGCCATGGCAGCAGACTGGGTGTTAGTGTCGGGGTCCCCCTGTGTGGCGTACTGCGTGGGGACTTGGGGAGCGCTGGGGGGGGTGGACTGGCGAGGCCGGGGCCACGCACGCCGCGGGGCGGGGGGGGGGGGCGGCACGGTCGGAAGCAGTACCGCGTCCACAGCTCTGACCGCGCGCCGCGAGCTGGCCACCAGCCCCCGCCCTCCCCGGCCGCCCGTCTGGACCCCGGCGGCACGCTCATGCACACTCACTTGCACTCGGCCTCGGTCTGCTTGGAGCTGTCTGAGCAGGTGTAGAGCTTTCCCTGGAAGGCGGAGGAACAGCGGGGTTGGTTAGAGACGCCCCAAAATGGGTGGATCCAGAGGACGGGGGGGGGGGCAGGGCAGGCTTCGGGATGAAAAGGCCTGAGAGAGCCCACATATGAAGGGGAGACAGGCTCACCCCCACGGGAAGGAAAGACAGGCTCACCCCCACGGGAAGGGGAGACAGGCTCACCCCCACGGGAAGGGGAGACAGGCTCACCCCCACGGGAAGGAAGCCGTCCACGGCGGGCAGGCCCGGCTGAGAGGACGGAGCAAAGCCTCCACCCGCCTCGGCCTTCCCAGGGCCGGGGCCTGCGGTCACTCGCCCCACGTGCTGCCTGGGCGGCTGCCGTGTCCCTTTCCCGGGGGGCGGTGGGGTGAGGTGGGGGCAGACCAAGCCCCGTGGAGACCTTACCTTGAAGAGCTGGACCCCGATGCAGGCGAACATGAACTGCAGCAGCGTGGTGACAATCACGATGTTGCCGATGGTCCTGATGGCCACGAACACGCACTGGACCACGTGCTGCAGGGGACAGAGGGACACACACACACTGAGCCACGTGCTGCAGGGGCCGGAGGGCCGGGGACAGGGCAGGAGGGCAGCCCGAGCTCGTGGAGGAGGTAGCGCAGACACGTCGGGGAGATCAGGAGAAACGGGGCTGAAGAGACACGGCAGACAGTTGTCCCGTGGGGAGCCCAGAGCACTGGGAAGCAGGGGTGTGGGGTGGCTGGGGGCCCAGCCCTCGCGGCGAGGGCCTCCCATGTGGGAAGTTTTCTTGGGGCTTCAGGGTTTGAAAGTCCGTTCGGCACAGAGTGAGACTCCCAGTGGGACGGGACTCGGCGCCAGCCTGGCAGGCACCTGGCTGGCCCGGCCGCCATCTTTCCATTCGAGTGTCTCCCTGTCCTCAGCGGAACCCCCAACGGGAAGCTTTTGTGCGTGGAGCCCCCCTCCCGCTCCCTGGTGCCCCCACCAGCTCACCTTGAGTCCTTTGGCCCTGTTGATGGCCCTCAGGGGCCTGAGGACTCGCAGGACCCTCAGGATTTTCACCACGTTGATGGCACTCGACCTGCGGGGGGAGGAGGAGGGGATGATGGATGCTCAGAAGAAAATGGGGTCGGCCTCGGGGTGTTTTTACTTCTGTCTCCCGCTGCAGGAGCCCGGAGCGTGCTGGTCCTCCTCGGGGACCCTGAGCAGGCTGGGACGGCGGCCCCGGGCGGAGGGGCCGAGGTGGCCGCGGTTGGCTCCCCAGCCTACGTGCGGGTCAGGGGCCAGACGCCGATAAGCAAGTTGGCAGGCGTCTCTGGCGATGGCGCCAGTGCCGCAGGAAGGACACGGAGAGCCAGGGTCCCCGGATTCCCACCCCGCTCCTGCTACCTGCCAGCCACAGCTCCACTCAAGCTGGGCTAGGAGGAAGGATTCTTGGTTCAGGGGAAAAGGGGGATTTGGTGGTGGAGTTGGGCGGGAAGCTGGATCCTGTGAGCTGATAGTTCTGGGTGGAGCTGGAGACGGCGGGAGGGGTCTCTGTCACCACCCTGTCATCCTCGCGGCTGGCCACCAGCCGGTCAGGAAGGGGGCCGGGCCGCCAGCACATCTGCCTTTCTTTGCCATTGGCGTGGCTCAGAGCAAGTCTCACGAGGGCCTGAGTCTCAACTTTCCAATGTCCCATCCCTGAGCTGCAGCATGTTCATGCTCCCCTCTCCCTCCCTCCCTCCCTCCTCCCTCCCTCCCTCCCTTCCCCCCATGCACACACCCACACAACACACACACGCACACGCACGCACACACACACACACACACACACACTTTTTTTTTTGTCAGTCATGGGTCTTGAACTCTGGGCCTGGGCACTGTCCCTCAGCTCTTTAGCTCAAGGCGGGCGCTCCACCACTCGAGCCACAGCGCCACTTCTGGTTTTCGGGTAGTTTATTGGAGATCAGAGTCTCATGGACTTTCGTGCCCGGGCTGGCTTTGAACCGTGATCCTCAGATCTCAGTTTCCTAAGTAACTGGGATGACAGGCATGAGCCGCCAGCGCCCGGCAACACACATTTTGACCGACCGAAGAGAGAGGAGACGGAGAGGGAGGTGGGCTGGGGGTGGTGGCTGAGGAGCAGCTCAGGCCGTGATGGCCGTGATAGGGACGCCTGCTTCTTTGTCACATCTCCTCGCCCCCCCCGCCCCCCGCCCCGGCCGCCGCGAGCTGAGCCAACTCTACTCACTGTATGCCGAAGGAGATGAGGGACACGCTAACCACCAGCAGGTCCAGGATGTTGAAGTAGTTCCGGCAGAAAGAGCCCTTGTGCAGGAAGGCCCCATACGCGGTCATCTGCGGAGAACCAGCTGTGTGTGAGCGCCCGGGCCCAAGCCCAGAGACCCCCTCCACCCTGCCCGTCTCCCCGCGGCATCCAGACAGGCCCCAAGCTCTGCCCGAGAGGGCCAGGAAGGCTGGGAGGGACAGGGTGCCAAGAAGAGAGCTCCGCATGCAGCCATTCAACCGTGCCGGACTCCCCACAGCTTGGGGTGTCCAGGGGGCTCCACCTGTCAGACCATGCGGGTTTCGTGCCTGCCTTCAAAGCCCTTTAAGGCGAGCCCCTTCCAAGATGGTGCCAGCCACGTCAGGGCTCTTTGCCGAGCTATTTGGGCTGGATTTCCCCTCCTCACGTCCTCCTTCCCTCCCACCCAGCTGGCTGGCAAGGAGACCGGCCTAGAAAGGTGACCACCTGCCTTTGTCTGCCCAGGACTTAACGTCCACCCCCGGAGGGAGGGTTTAGGCTCAGCTCTTGCCCACGTCCCTTGGGTGTGGAGGGAAGGGTGGTATGGATGGGACGGGGGACACAGGCTCTGGAGCTCTGCTGACCTCCCTCCATTCCCCCCCCACCCCCGGTTCAAATCCCACCCCTGCTGGGAGCTGCTCTTCCCGGAGCCTCATTGGGGAAACCGAGGCTGCTCCGTTGGGTTGAAGGCACCCGAGAGCGTGTGGGAGACAGAACCCACGCCCGCGGCGCCGGCCCTGTGGCCGGGGCTTGGGTCGAATGCGGGGTTCTTCCTACGTGAGGGGCAGGGGCCTCTTCTGCTTCCCCGATACCCCAAAAACCTCAGGAGCAAGAGCACGGGCACGGACGGGTGGGGAGGGAGCTTTCTCTCTCTCTCTCTCCTACATTCCCCCCCCCCCCCCCCCCGCTGAGTGGATTGGACCCTGCGGATAGCCAGGGTGAGGCTGTTAAAAAAAAATCCACGGGCCACGAGGCAGCAGACAGAGGAAGGCTGTGGACGGGACGGCGGGAGGGCCTCCTCTCCTGGGAATCAGAGCATCCCGGGTGCCGCGAGGGGGCACAAGTAGCTCTGGTGGCCTCATACTTTCCATTGACCTTTCCCGGCCAGCAGCGGGCGGCAGGAGACTCAGACGCAGGGGTCGTTATGTAAGAGACCGTGGTGGGAGGGGGGTGGGGGTGGGGCTCGGAGCTTTGGGCCTCTTCCAGGGGCCACTTGGTCCAGTGTGGTCTGAAGGCCCTCAGGCTGGGCGGAAGACCGCCGAGGCTCAGGCCCCCAGCCCCTGGAAGGGCTGACCGCCTTCTCCCGCGTCCTCCTGCAGCCTTAGTGAGGATGGATGGTCCTGGCCACCTGCGCCTCGGCACAATGCCGGGCAGAGCCCACTCCGCCAGAGAGACCGGGGTGGGGGGGACCGGGCTGGGGGTGGACACGCAGCACAGCCAGCACAGAAGAGACCAGAAGAGGAAGAGAGAGGGGGCGGGAAGGGCCGCGCGCGGCCACCAGCACCATCGACACCCTGAGGGGAGGCTGGGGGCGGGTGGGAATGGTGGCTCGGCGTGTTTTCTCCTCCTGGAAAAGAACTCCGGTGCATCTGAGTCCAAGTCCAGAAAAAAACAAAAACAAAAGCACCCGTGGAAGAGGGGCCGGCAGCAGGTCAGGCAGCGCGGGCTCCGGGTTCCCAACCCTGGCTTCAGGAATGGGCTCTGCCTACAGTCGCTCTGTCCCTGGGCGGGGGAGGGGATCTAAGCAGCTCTGGGTAAGTCGAGGAAGCCAGGGGTGGGCCCGGCCGGGCCCCTGGGGGACAGCGCTGTCACCGAGAGCTCAGGTAAAGTGACATGTGTCCCTCGAAGGGCCGGGCGTGAGCTGCGAGTTTCGCTAGGACGGGAAGGGACTGCAGCTCCCAGGGCCGCATCAGCCCCAATCACAGGGCCTCGGGGGCCCGGGCCCCGGAGACGGACACGGTAGGCTCAGTGAGCAGTGCGTCACCCGACGTGCGTGCTCTGAGCAGTTGGCCCAGGTGCTGGGCGGCCTGGCCTGGGCGCCCGGGCTGGGGGGGGGGGGGCGGACCGTGACCTGGCTCTCCCGAGGGGCTGAGCCGGGGTTCTGTCTGGGTTGGGCATGGCTGCATGAAGGCAGCTCTGGAGAGCCAGATAGGGCCAGCGTCGAGCAGGCTGGGGCCTGGCTGCTCAGGCTCCCTGCAGGAGCTCCTCCACTCCCTCCTGGGCCAGGACGGAGCTTTCCCCCAGGGCACGGAGGGGCCAGATGCATCTCGCGTGATCGGCCGAGAGGTCGGGGTGGGAGCCTGGCTGCCCGTCCTGCCTGCGATGGCAGCGGTGTGGCTCCAGCTCGGCTCAGCCCCACATCCACAGCGAGCCACGGAGGAGTGCGTGGGGACGGACGGTCCCCGGAGACAGTGGCCACATGGCACCTTTACACGGGGGGGGGGGGGGGGGGGGCTCTTCCCTCTCTACAGAGCTCATCCGGGCGGGAGGAGAGCGATCGAGTTGGAAGGAGGGTTCTGCCACGCACTGACCAGCAATGGCGCAGGGGAGCCTGGAAGCCGGGCACGGCCGATGGCCGCGGAGCCCGGCCGGTGACGGGAAAGCCACCGGGAGCGTCACCACGGCTTGGGGGGGGGGGCGGGGCGCACCTGCTCTTGGCCTACAGCAGGACAAGGGGCAGTCCTGTCTGGCTCCTGAGCCTGGGCACAGTGACAGTACTAACTCTCCCACATTTAGTCTCGAGAAGTTAGAGAGAGAAAGAGAGAGCGAGGGGAAACAGAAGTTAGAGCGTCGAGGGCAGAGCAGAGGCGGAGGGGCATGCTCAGGGTGGGTTACCTTAAGGATAATTTCTAATGTAAAGATACTAGTGAAGACGTAGTCGGCATTGCCTAGGATCTGGAAGACAAGCAGAACGGGGTTAGTGGCTCAGAGTGACCCCAGGATGCACAGAGCCGGTGTGTTAGAGACAGGACAGCGGCACAGCAGGCCGGCGCGGGCCGGCCGGCGCGGTGCGGAGGGGCCGGCGGTTTGCGGGGCTTTACCTTCAGAGCAATTTCAATGGTGAAAATGGTAGTAAAAACAATGTCAAAATAAAACAGAATCTGCAAAACAGAAAAGCAACAGGGCGGGCATGGGATGGGGGCCGGCAGGAGGGAGCCGCCAGAGGGCTGGATGGAGCTTCCCCGGGCGGGAACGGGGTCCAGGCAGCGTCTGCCTGGCTGGCGGCTCTCCCCGTGAACCCAGTTTGCCTTCCAGCCCCCAAATTTGACCACGGGGATGTTTGTCAAAAGGGGAGAGGAGCCGGGCACTGGTGGCTCACGCCTGTCATCCCAGCTCCTCAGGAGGCTGAGATCTGAGGATCGAGGTTCAAAGCCAGCCCGGGCAGCAAAGTCCACGAGACTCTGATCTCCCATGAACCACCAGAAAACCAGAAGTGGCGCCGTGGCTCAAGTGGTAGAGCAGGGACAGCGCCCAGGCCCAGAGTTCAAGTCCCATGACGGGGAAGGATCGGCTGGTTCCTCATGGGGACACCCTGAGGGGGGCGGGGGGGGGGTATGACCGGCCAGTTGCTTCCCTGGGTGCGGACTTTCGTTCCAGGTCTGGGCAGGAAGGCTCCCCAGGCCAGCGCAGGCCGAGCCCGGCTGAGGGTTTCATCCTCTTCACACGCTGGCTGGGCTCAAGGGCTCATCTCAGAGTCTAGCTCCAGCGGGCCCAGGCCCTGAGCATGGGTGTGTGTGCACACGTGTGTGTGTGTGTGCATGTGTGTGCACACAAGTGCATTGTATGTGAGTGCGTGTGAGGCTTGGAGACACAGCCGTTCTGACTCTATCCTTTGAGGTGTTCACTAGGGTCGCGATGGGGCCTGGTTTGGACTGGTGCTACGGAAGGCGGCAGAGGCTTGTTTTAACTTTGAGTGCAGGGCCTTGTGTGCACGAGGCCGGCGCTCTGCCACCTGAGCCACACCTCCAGTCCTTTTGACCCTGGTGATTTGCAAGGCTGTCTCGTTCTGGGCCTGGCCTGGGATCCTTGTATTTGATCGGGCATGCTGCGGCACCCAGCCTCTCGGTTGAGGGGGAAGACTCTGCCCAGGCCGGCCCTGAACCAGGATCTTCTGGTGTCTGCCTCTCAGATAGCGAGGATGACTGGCTTGAACGGCTGTACCGGGCCGTGGCTGGCTCTCATCGGGGGCCAGCCTGATTGATCACTGTCACATTTGCCAACGCTCCCATCCCGGCCGGAGGGCTCTGGGAGCAGGCGGGAAGCCAGTCTTCTGGGCAGAGACGCCGGGGTGGGGGTGGGGCTCTCTCACTAAGTCCTGCTCCGAGCCCCGTCTTAAAGGAATGCTCGTTGTGCATCTGACAATGAGGCGCAGACCCCGCGTCCAGACCGCGGCCACAGAAGCCACGGGCCTGCTCCCGGGACAAGGGGGTACAGGGGACAGAAAGTGGGGGCGGGGTGGGGCAGGCCTACGTGGTTCCTGAAGGAGGTGTGCTGCACGGGGTCTTCGGCGGCCAGGGAGATGCTGCTGAGCAGGATAAAGAAGAGGATCAGGTTGGTGAAGATGGTGTCGTTCACCACGCGGTGGCACTGGAGACGGAACCTGCAGGGAGGAGGGGGAGAGGAGGAGATGGAGACCAGCGTGCGCCCCCCGCACCCCGGGAGCGGCACCCCTAAAAGGGCCGTCCATGGCAGAAGACGGGAGACGCCGTGCGGCTCTGCATTTTGTTACGCGAAACAGACTCGGTGGATCCTGAAGAACAGAAAGATAGTCTGCGTGTTCAACACCTGAAAGGGCGGCGGGATGCAGACCACACGTTCCGAATGTGAGTGTGTGTGCGTGTGCGTGTGTGTGTGTGTGTGTGTGTGTGTGTGTTCCCTTAGCTCAGCGTCTGCTTACACAAGCTGGAGGAGAGGCCCCGATTGGCCGGCTGGCGGCGGGAGGGGGGGCAGGGGTCCGCCTCCCCCGCGTCCCCACGCACCTGTTGTTGGGGCTGAAGATGAAGAAGGCGCTGGCTTCCGGCATGGGCACGGCCTTCTCCTTCAGGTGCAGCTCGGAGAGGGGCCGGGGGCGGGGCCCCACCGGCATCTCCGGCTCTTCCTCCTCCTCTTCTGGAAAGACAAGCAGCCCTGGAGACGAGGCCCGCATCTCCACCCCACAACCCCCGGTCCCGCTCCCAGGAATGCCAGCGCCGGATCGTGTCTCTCCAGTGCAGGGCGGGACAGCATTGTGCGTCTCACGGGGGCTGCCGGAGACCCCCGCTGCCTGACACGGATCTCCGCGGAGCACGGGGAGGGTGGCCAGGGGGTCTCTGTTCGCCCCAATCTGTCCTGGTCTTAACACTGAAATCCCCACATCCCGGGAAAGGGATCTCGCCCCCATCTTCGAGTCTAGTTGGTTTATTTGGGGACCCAGACAAGATCCTCTCCCGGGAACCCTTTCCAATTCTGTCGCCCCGTTGTACAACTCCTTAGAGAGTAAAAATACAGCGAGAGAGTTCTGTGATGGACCCTTCCTCGAAGGATTTCTAAGACTGAGAAAGGCTCAACGTTCCAACCTGGACACCTTCTTCATGCTTTCCCTCGGGTCTAAGCCCCAGGACACGTATGGAGCAGGGAGTGAGCTGGGTGGGCAAAGGGACTTCCAGGGAGAAGAGAGGCCGCACGGTCCCGCGGGCCCAGCCACCAGAGGGGCAAGGTCGCGAGGAAAGCCTAGCTTTGCTTCAAAACGCAGCTGGTTTGTCAGCCGCCTGGTGCGGCCGCCCATCACCCACCACAGCCTCCCCGGGGAGGTGGATGTCAGAGGGACCCAGTCCCTCCTTCCCCAGCCTGTGCCGGCTTTCCCCCCCCCCCCCCCCCGGCTGGCCACAGCTCCAGGCTGGAGGAGGCAGGCACGAGGCTTGCACGGGCATGGTGGGAAGGGGCCTCCTAATGGCCACTCAAGCCACATGGACACACAGGAAGGTCTCATCCGCAGGGCGCTTCCTGAGGATAGGAGACCCGAAGGCATTATACAAGGAAAGCAACAAGTGGGCCACCGGTGCCAGCCGCTGCCCCTCCGCTGCCCGGGGCTCCCTGAGCCTGGGCCGCACGGAAGGGGACCCGCCGGAGCTACTGGGGGGGCAGAAAGTCGTCTGCTGTCCCCGTACGCTGCGACCTCGCAGGGGCGAGCCTTAAATGTACGCAGATCCGACTTCCAAAGAACACATGGAGCGGGAGGAGATGGGGGAGGAAAAGGGGTCCCAGACTCGGAGAGACACGGGGGTTCTAGCATCCACAGCACCGCGCGTGTGAGAGACGATTATTATGTGTCACCAGAAGAGAGGGCGCAAAGGCTCCAAACATGAAGTCACCATGGACCGGCCCATGCAAACTACTGGACCGGACGGCCACTCCCTGCCCGTGTGTGTCCGGTGATCATCCGGCGGTACTGGATTCACTCTTACAACATTCCCACCATGAGCAATTTAAAAGCAGAAGCTGACACTGTTACAAAGAAATGGATTCCTTATCTGACTTACACAACCGCAACCCCTCAGTCCACCACCTTTACCGTGACCATAATAAATACATAACAAAAGTCATCCGCAGAAAGAGTAAAAAATCCAAAACGCTGCTCAGATACGGCCCTGTCGATCTTGACATTATTATTACGGGAAAGTGGGGGGAAGGAGCCCCCTAGCTAGCAGCTGGAATGCTAAGCGTCAGCAGCGCGCGTGTGTGCAGAGGAAACGGGGAATGACCGTCATTTCCACGTGGCCAGTAGTGCGCGTGCGCGTGGAGGAAGGGGCCGCCAGTCATTTCCGTGTGGAGATCGGGGTCCGGTCCCCCCCTGCCCCCCCAGCCTCGGAGTCGGCCGCGAGTCTGGTACCTGTGGTGTCTGGGTTGGGGTAGGAGCTCTTATCCTCATTTTCATTGGGCTGGAGCTCGTCCACGGTGATCTGGGCAGGGGGCAGAGGAGGGAGAGTCCCGTTAGAGACCTGCCACAGTTCGGGGGTCCCCGTGGCCACCCTGGGGACGAGCCCCCCTCCCCCTCCCCCTTGCATGGCCTTGGGGGACGCGCAGAGGCCGGGACCCCCAGTGTGCCTTCTCCTCCCCCCGCCCCCGCTAGACCCATGGCCCGTATCTGTGCTGGCTCCTTCCTCTTCCTCTCCGGGTGTGGGGCCCGGGGGACCCCTCTTCTGTGGCAGGGACCCCGCCAGCCATGGTGAGGGAAGGAGGGGCGGCCACGCACCTTGGTGGTGGGCGGGGACTCGCCATCAGCCGCGATGGACCGCAGCTCCATCTTCTCCTCCTTCATCTCCTCCACCACCGGCTTCTCCACCACCTCCTGTTTCTTCTCGGGGCTGGCTGTCCTGGCCGGCCAGCGGGAGGAAAACACAAAAGGAAGGGATGTTGACTGGCGCGATGGGGGTGTCGGCGGGGGCAGCCGGGCCCTGGCCGTCCCCGCATGGGGGTGTCGGCGGGAGTCAGCGGGAGGCAGCCTGGCCCCTGGCCCTCCCCTCTCCCCAGGCACGTGACCAGCGCCGAGTTCATCCCTTCCAGCCTCTCCAGTCCCCAGATCGGAGAACGGCTCCTGGGACCGGCGCCTGCAGGAGCCGGCCAGCACGGCGTGCCAAGTCCGGCCTTCCCGCCACGCAGAACGAGGCCAGCGGGAAGGAGACGGCTCTAAGCTAGCACGGACTGGACTCCCCGTGAGGGCTGCCTTCCTCCTCTCCGCCTCAAAAGAGGCCCCAGCTCCCTAGACGGGGCGGGGATGGAAGGCTGCGCAGAGACTACTGCACAGCGGCTCTACTCCAGCACAGCGCCCGGGACTCGGGAGAGAGGCCTAACCTGGGACTCAGGAGACAGGTCTAGCCTGGGACTCAGGAGACAGGTCTAGCCTGGGATTCAGGAGACAGGCCTAACCTGGGACTCAGGAGACAGGCCTAACCTGGGACTCGGGAGACAGGTCTAGCCTGGGACTCGGGAGACAGGCCTAACCTGGGACTCAGGAGACAGGCCTAACCTGGGACTCGGGAGACAGGCCTAACCTGGGACTCGGGAGACAGGTCTAACCTGGGACTCGGGAGACAGGCCTAACCTGGGACTCAGGAGACAGGTCTAGCCTGGGACTCGGGAGACAGGTCTAACCTGGGACTCGGGAGACAGGCCTAACCTGGGATTCAGGAGGCAGGTCTAGCCTGGGACTCGGGAGATAGGTCTAGCCTGGGACTTGGGAGACAGGCCTAACCTGGGACTCAGGAGACAGGTCTAGCCTGGGACTCGGGAGACAGGTCTAACCTGGGACTCGGGAGACAGGCCTAACCTGGGATTCAGGAGGCAGGTCTAACCTGGGACTCGGGAGACAGGTCTAGCCTAGGATTCAGGAGACAGGTCTAGCCTGGGACTCGGGAGATAGGTCTAGCCTGGGACTCGGGAGATAGGTCTAGCCTGTGACTGGGGAGGCAGGTCTAGCCTGGGACTCAGAAGACAGGTCTAGCCTGGGACTCCCGAGGGCCTCCTTCCAAGCGCGACTGCATTTCAGAGCAGCAGGTGAGCTCAGAGGGTTACCTGGCTAGCTTCTTCCTCTCTTTCTCCTCCTCCTCCTCCTTCTGGGCAGAGGTCAGGCTTTCCGCGTCGGCCAGGTTATCCACCGCAATGGCCAAGAACACGTTCAGTAGGATATCTGTTTGTGTCCGTTCTTAAAGAAAACGACTCTGGTTTTGGGGTGTGGGATGGGCCCGGGAGAAGGGACGGGGGACGGTGGAGTTTCCCATCAGAGCTCGCTTCAGGGGGTCCCAGGCCGTGTCTTTCCCTCCCTGCCCCCCTTCCGTCCCCATCCGCCTCCTCCGCGCCTGGAGCTTGTTAACTGGCCAGGGCCAGGCTGGCTCGCGGGCCGGGCCTGATCTCTCGTGGCGACGGCTGGCCGTGAGGGGCATGGCTGAGCGGCATCTCCAGCGGCATGGAGCCCGCTGGGGAGAGCAGATCTTTGTAAGTGGGTGTGGCTCGACAGCTCGGCCTGGCTGGAGCGGGCCTCCCTGTGCTCCCGGCTCCCCTCCCCCTGTAACCGAGGCCCCACGGGGCAGAGGGAGCTGGAGGCCTCACGTCAGACCTCCTCCCCGACACCCAGAACTCCACCCGCTTCTCACACAGGGAAGCTGGGAGCCGGTGGAGGGAGCCAGCTCCCCCAGGACCTCGGGAGGAGGAGGGGGGGGCTCTGCATGGGAGGAGGTGGGGGGGCTCTGTGTGCGAGGAGGCGGGGCTCTGCGTGCGAGTCGGTCACACTCACTGCCCCCTTCAGAGCACTCACTGTTACTCGACCACAGGCTGAGTAGCCCTTGCCTGAAATGCCTGACATCACAAGGGTCTCAGGATTCATAAAAAAAACCACCTCTGTGTGTGTGTGAGTGTGTGTGCGAGTGTGTGTGAGTGTGTGAGTGCAAGTGTGTGCGAGTGTGTGCGAGTGTGAGTACGTGTGTGTACGCGAGTGTGAGTGTGCGCGCGAGTGTGCACGCACGAGTGTGTGTGTGCGAGAGTGTGTGTGCGTGTGCGTGAGTGTGAATGTGTGTGAATGTGAGTGTGTGTGTGTGAGTGTGTGTGAGTGTGTGTGTGTACTTTGGCCTGGTGTCAGTGGCTCACGCCTGTCATCCCAGCTACTCAGGAGGCTGAGATCTGAGGATCATGGTTCAAAGCCAGCCCGGGCAGGAACTTCCCTGAGTCTCTTCTCTCCTTTGAACGATCCAAAAAAAAAAAAAAAAGAGCTGGAAGTGGCGCTGTGGCTCAAGTGGCAAAGCACCAGCCTTGGGTGAAAGCTCAGGGACAGCGACCAGACCTTGAGTTCAAGTCCCAGGCCTGGCACAAAAAAAGGGCTTTGGGGCTGCTGGCGCGTGTGTACACAGTGATGGACGTTGGTGCGTGTGCGTGTCCGTACGTGGCGTTGGCCCGCGGACACTCCTGGCAATGTCACAGTGTCTTTAGCAAGCTTACATGGCCGTGGGACTCGTGGTGTGGTTGTTTTTGCGGATGTTGCCGTGGTGTGGTTGGAGAGTTGGGGTTTTGTGGTGGGAGCAGAGCGTTCCACGCGCTGCCCTAGGGGGTGAAGCGTGGTCTGTGAGCGCCAGCACCCCCTGCTTCCTGAACCACACAAGCTGGGATTTAACCGGAGTCTCGGCACCTCCTTTGCCACCCGGTGTCCGGACGCCAGGGGCAGAGAACCAAGGGCCTGGGGCTGCGTCAGGATGGAGCCATGGGGTCTGCTCGGCGCCTGCCCAGCTCGGCCTGCGTGAAGGCCGCTCCGCGCGCCGGGCCCCTTCCAGGAGGGCTCTCACGGTGGCTGCACGCACCCACCTGAGTGTAACCGGGCTCCCGCCCTGGGGGGAACACACAGCCGCAGCCCATCGGGGGGCCCTCGGAGCCCTGCCCCAGGCGGGAGCCACCTGGGCCTGCTCTGTGCTCTTACCCAGGGCAGCCTTGCTGGGCTTGGCGGGCCGGGGGGGGGGGGCGGGGGGGGGGGACGAGGGAGCTGTAGATGGGAATGGCCCCGAACGCCGGCGGTGAGGCATACCGTGGGCTGAAGGGAAAGCAGGTGTGTGTGTGTGTGTGTGTGTGTGTGAGCATGTGTGCACGTGTGTGTGTGTGGTGGGGGAGGGGGGCAGCGGCAAAGGATACAATTTCCACAGATGAAGAGGATGATGAAGTAAATACAGACTAACATCCCTGGAAAAGAGGGGCCGCCATAAGCCATGATCCCATCATACATCACCGAATTCCAGTCCTCCCCGGTCAGGATCTGAACGACACATTCCCACCAATAAGGGACACAGCGTTAGACCAACAGCAGAACCCGCACTCCCCGCCCGGTCCCGCGCCTCCGGACCGCCCCCCCCCCGGCTCTCCTCCCGGGGCGGGGGTCTCCCACACATCTAGCTCTATCTCTTGGCCGCATGCACGGCCCCCGGCAGACGCTCCCTCAGTGGCCTCCCGTATGGATCGGGTGAGGGACGGGAAGATGGCCGTCCCCGCCCCCATGCTGGCCTTTACGGCTTCACAGCCGTAGGGGGAAACCGCAGGCCGCACCGGGCATCCGGTGCCATCTTTAGGGTTTTGGTAGCACTTGGAACACTATTCATTTGTTTTTTAAATAAGTCATTTTACATTTAGACTCTCCCAAGTGCTACGATTTTAATGGAAGAGACGATCGTAAAGATGAAACCCCCCCTCCTCCCCAGGCCTGAAGCTGGAGGCCCCTGGGCACGGACCGTGGGGGGGGTGAGCTAGGCTGGCTCCGCGCCCAGGACAAGGATGCCACTCCCCACCCCTCCCCTTTCTGGGGCTCCTTCTTGCTCCCCCTCCTGCCCCGCCGTCCCCCCGTCGTCCCCCCTCCCGCCCCGCCCCCCCATCGCCCCCCCTCCGCCCCCCCCCCCTGGGCGTCCCAGCCCGGGGGGAGCCCCCACCTGGAAGACGGTGAGGAGGGACTGGGGGAAGTTGTCGAAGGTGCTCCTGCGCGTCTGCATCTCGTCGAAGTTGAACTTGCCCCCGAAGAGCTGCATGCCCAGCAGCGAGAAGATGATGATGAAGAGGAAGAGCAGCAGCAGCAGCGAGGCGATGGAGCGCACCGAGTTCAGCAGGGACGCCACCAGGTTGCTCAGGGAGTTCCAGTACCTGGGGGCGGGGAGGGGGAGTCAGCCCCTCTCACTGGGGACAGGCGGGGGGGTCAGCCCCCTGGGGACAGGCGGGGGGGGGTCAGCGCCCCGGGGACAGGCGGGGGGTCAGCCCCCTGGGGACAGGCGGGGGGTCAGCCCCTCTCACCGGGGACAGGCGGGGGGGGGGACTAGTAAGCTGGGCAATGAGCAGCCGGGGGGTCAGGGCTCACAGTCCCCCCTCATCCAGCCAGTGGCTGTGAGCAGGCAGAACACAGAGCAGCGGGGGTCTCAGGAGGTGGACTGGGACCTGAGCTCCTCCCTGCCCAGACACGGTCCACACACGGCTGAGGGGGGCTGGGCTCTCAACTGCACAGAGTCCCAGGGCCGCCAAAGGCCCCCCCACCCCGGGGGACACCCGCCCCAGGGCAGCCACAGCGGCTGACCAGCGGGGGGCGTGGACCGGACGGCGCACACGGATGGACTTCCCTGAACTCTCCCTGTCCTCAGCCCAGGCTGTAGCTGCAGCCTAAGTGATCTGTTTTATTTTTTTGTCGGTCATGGGACTTGAACTCGGGGCCTGGGCGCTGTCCCTCGGCTCTTCAGCTCAAGGTTGGCGCTCTACCCCTTGAGCCACAGCGCCACTTCCAGTTTTCTGGTGGTTCATGGGAGATCAGAGTCTCATGGACTTTCCTGCCCAGGCTGGTTTTGAACTGCGATCCTCAGATCTCAGCCTCCTGAGGAGCCGGGATGACAGGCGCGAGCCACCGGCACCTGGCTATCTTTTTTTTTTTTTTTTTTTGTCGGTTGTGGGGCTTGAACTCTGGGCCTGGGCGTTGTCCCTCAGCTCTTCAGCTCAAGGCGAGTGCTCTACCACTTGAGCTACAGTGCCACTTCCAGTTTTCTGGTGGTTTATTGGAGATAGGAGTCTCATGGTCTCTCTTGCCCGGGCTGGCTTTGAACCGCGATCCTCAGATCTCAGCCTCCTGAGTAGCTAGGATTACAGGCATGAGCCACCAGCGCCAGGCTTCTTTTTTTTTTTTTTTTTAAACCGTGAGTGGTCTCGGCTGCGCCAGCTATCCCGGAGAACACGCCATGCCACACCTGTAAACACGGGCAAGCACCGCACACAGGCGCGTGCACACACCCATTGGAAATGAAAGAGGCGTGAACACTGGGAACGCACCGGACAGACAGGAGCCAGGACCGTGAGACTGTGGTGGGACCGGAGCCCTCGGCCGGTCCTGGCTGGCGGGCACGGAAAGCGCGCCGGTCTCTGAACAACAGTCCCAACGGAGTCTGACTCAGAGTTCACCAAACGACCTAGAGATTCCACCCCGAGGGGCCTGACTGAAAGAAACGCACGCATCCGTCCACAAAAGCGGCGACAGAAGCGTGCCCCGGACACTTCCCGCAGCAGCTTGAGGGCAGCGACTGACGGAACACCTGTCAGCCAGCAACAAACAAGATCGGGCATCTTCATCTGATGGCCGAAGACGTGGTGCAGAGGGAGAGGAGCCGGTCACGAAAGACCACCTTCGTACAGCTCCGGTGACAGAGACTGCTGGCCCCGGACAGAGGCTACAGACAGGTCAAGTGGATACTGACCGTGGTATGGCACCGGACAAGTTCAATCTCAGCAGAACCTTATAAATGCGGTGGTGGTGAGGCAGTCAATCAATCAACCCCTGGCCCGATGGGCCGCGGCGTCGCACATTGTCCTGAGCAGGCTGCTGCTCCCTGCGTCCTCTGGAGAGGCCCCCCGCTGGCCCTAGGGGGTGGGGGCTGGCGGGGGGAGGGCCGGCAGATGGAGAGGCAGGAGAGGCGTGAAGCCTGGAAGACACCTGTGGCACAATGCCCGCCATCTTGTTCCAATAGATCGGGGCTGGTCTGCAGAGACCCATGCTCAGCCCAGCGGCTCCACGCCCAAGCTCTCCTGACAGCATCCCCGCCGAGAACACAGGCCCAGGGGGCATTTCTGATTTTTTAAATCCATTAAAAAAAATTGTACCCATATATAAAAATGACCATGTTAACTATTTTGTTTGTTTGTCTTGTCGGTCCTGGGGCTTGAACTCTGGGCCTGGGCACTGTCCCTCAGCTCTTCAGCTCAAGGCTAGCGCTCTACCACTTGAACCACAGCGGCACTTCTGGTTTTCTGAGTGGTTTATTGGAGATCAGAGTCTCTTGGACTTTCCTGCTTGGGCTGGCTTTGAGCCGTGATCCTCAGATCTCAGCCTCCTGAGTAGCTAGGATGACAGGCGTGAGCCACCGGCGTCCAGCCATGTTAACTACTTTTAAGCGGCACGCTTAAAAGTTCAGAGATCTGTAACCATTTGACATGTGACCACCGCCATTATCTGCCGCCCGAAGCTCAGGCCTCACGAGCCCACTGCTCCAACCTCTACCTCTGGTTTTACTCATGACCCCCAGTGACCTTGATGAGTGGGAGGACCCCCTGTGTAGGACCGGACGGGGTTTCTGCGTTGTGACCGGCTTGTTTCACTCGGCCTGGCTTTTCTTGCTTTTCTTGGGGGCTCTTGTAGATCGCTCCTAGTCTGTTCGCTCACTGGCCCTGGAAACGTGGGTGCCTCCGGCCATTGTAAATAATGCCTGTACAGGAGCGGACGCACAGAGGGCTCCCTGGGCTCCCAGTGGGGCGCTTCCGGGCGGACACCCAGAGATGGAATGGCTGGTCCCCCGCGGCCATGCTGTCTCTGACGGTGTGAGGAGACGCCATTCTGTTAACGGGGGCGGGACCGTCTCTCTTCCCGCCTCAACCGTGCCAGGCCCCCGGTCTCTCGCCCTCACCACGACTCGTTTTGTGAAAGCCGTTTTAAGCTGTGGCCTCCTACGAGCGGCTGTCTACGGGGTCGGGGGTAACGAGGCTGAGCTGTGGTGGGTGTCCCTTTCCTTCTCCTCCATCTCCCTTTCTGCAGAAGCCACCTGTGACCAGGGGGTGGAACTGTCACCGAGGCTGGAGGGGCCAAGGACAGGGAGCGACCGCGCTCCCGCCACGTCCCGAAGCCACCGCGGCCGGCCTTTCATGCCACCGAATGCAATTCTGATTTGCTCGGTTCTGGGCGGAAGACATCACTGGACGCCACAGCCCTGGGGGAGCCGGGCGTCAGCCGGAAGGCTCCTCGGCCCTGAGGCCCTGCGGCTGCCACTGCGGCCGCCTGCGGGGGGGGGGGGGGGATGGGGGGAGAGGGACGGAGGGGGGCGTTGTCGAGGGAAGGAGCCCCGCGCCGAGCCGCCTACCTGGTGATCTTAAAGATCCTGAGCAGGCGGACGCAGCGTAGCACGGAGATGCCCAGGGGCGACATGATCTTGGTCTCCACCAGGATGGTCTCCAGGATGCCCCCACACACGATGAAGCAGTCGAAGCGGTTGAAGAGCGACACGAAGTAGGCCTGCAGCCCCAGGCTGTACATCTTCAGCAGCATCTCTGCTGTGAACATGGCCAGGAGCGCCTTGTTGGCTGTGTCTGCGGGAGGGGGAGGAGAGTGTGGTCATGGCCGCAGCTGTAGCAGAAGCCCCCCCCTTCCAGCCGCGCCGGGGGCTCTGTGCCGCGCCGCGTGCTCACCCTGCACCTCCGTGAGCCAGTGCGGCTGGTTGTAGTGCTCCGAGGCGATGGTGAGCGTGTTGAGGAAGACCAGGAAGATCACCAGCCAGTAGAAGACGTTGGACTTGACGGCCGCCCGGCACTTCCTTCTGCAGAACCGGTTCCACCGGCGCCAGTAGCGGCTGCAGCGGACAGAGGGAGAAGGGTGGGGCGGGGCGGTGGGTTGGCTGGGCAGCACGGGTTCCTGCCAGCGCGAAGCTCGTGGGGTGGGTGCACGCAGCGGCTAAATCCACACCCGGCCTTTTCTAGAGCATCTCAGGGGAGGGCCAACATCAGTGGCCTGTCCACATGACACACGGGTGCCACGTGACACAGTGCACGCACATGCTCCATGCCTGGCTTTCTAGGCCCGGCACGGGCGGCGGTGCCGGCACTCTGGTCTGCCCGGCTCCATCTCGGCAGGGCTTCTGGATTTCTCCTAATGATCTCTGCAAAGCAGGGGTTCTCCTGACTTTATAGAGGAGGGGGGGGAAAAAACCTAAACCCAAAAATCTAAGGGTTAAAGAGGTGAAACAGCGTGACCAGCGGGGTAGTGCGGCCGGCTTTTCTCCCTCGCTCGACCCCGGTCCCTCCGGAGAGCCTGGGCTGCAGGGTGTTGGCTTTGATGGGGTCCCAGGGTGTGTTCTGGGCTCTGGTGGGTGAGCATACATCCACACGCACGCACCACAGCGTGCTGGGCCCCGGGATGGGTTCCCACGGTTTGGTTAGAGATGGCATCAGCGAGTCTCAAACCTGGCCATGCACAGAATTGCCCGGGGCTCCAGAAACCTCTCTAGCCAAATCTCACCACCAAACCGACTAAATCGGAATGTCCCTGTGCTGCCCCCCCTTTTTAATACCCCTACTGGGTTTTTTTTTCCTTTTTGCCATTCGTGGGGCCTGAACTCTGGGCTTGGGCGCTGTCCCCCAGCTCTTCAGCTCAAGGTGAGCGCTCTACCATGTGAGCCACAGTGCCACTTCTGGTTTTCTAGTGTTTCATTGGCAATAAGAGTCCCGTGGACTTTTGTGCCCGGGCTGGCTTTGAACCTCAAGCCTCAGATCTCAGCCTCCTGCGTAGCCAGGATGACAGGCGTGAGCCGCCGGTGCCCGGCCCCTGCTGGTGTCTGAAAGCCCTCCACCAGCTGTCTGTAATGCGGGGCTGGCAGCTGTGAGGGTGGCACTCACGTTTTACCATCCTGGCGGCCGAGGGGTCCCAGCCCGTGCCTCCGTTTACCGTCTTCCCCCAGACGACCCTTGGCGGTCCTGGTGACTCAGTGGGCCATAGATTCACCACTGTGCCACACCCAGGAGAGCGGGGGGGGGGGGGGGCTACGTGCTGGGAGGGAGCCCGCGGGCCACCAGGCCCAGGTCTTAGAAGAGGGGCAGCAACAAAGCATCCAGTGGACAGGGCGCGCCGCCAGCTTCCAGCCGGATCGTCAGAAGAGGAAGCCCTGTGCCAACACAGTGCCCAGGGGGAGCCGTGCGGGGCGGCTGGGAGCCGGCTTGCCGGGCTGGCGTGGGGACAGGCCCACTGGGTCGGGGCGACGGAGCCTGTCCGGGCAGGAGAGCAGTCAGGAGACCACCCTGGAGTATCTTGTCCCGTTTCTCACCCCTCCTCACAGGAGGGAGAGGCAGAATGGAGACCCGCACTGGCGGTTTGTTCGGGGAGTCCTAGCTCACTGGACGGCTGTAGTTCAGAGCCAGCCCAGGAAGGAAAATTCACAAGACTCCTGGACAACAGGGAGCCGGGCATATGTTCTGATGACGGGAGGGGGGGGGGGGGAAGGAATGAATCACATCCCAGGCACCAGCCGGGGCAGGAAGAGCAATGTCACCTCAAAGGCAACCTGTACAGCATCTACACAGCACGCGCAGGGCCCCGCGCGCAAAACCAAGTACTGCAGATGATACACCAGTAAAGAGCATGAACGATGCAGGAAGACCTCAGGGGTGTGTGTGTGTGATTGCAATCCAGAGAAAGTATTTAAAGATAATTACACACTTCCCACGCTTCAAAACAGGGCTTCGCTTGACGACGGGTCCCCTGGCAACTGCATGGCAGATGTGACGGTGTGCGAGGGTGTGTAAATCCATGTGCTTGTCCACACGATGGTGTGCGAGGGTGTGTAAATCCTTGTGTGCTTGCCGACACGATGTGACAGTGTGCGAGGATGTGTAAATCCATGTGTGCTTGTCGACACGATGGTGTGCAAGGGTGTGTAAATCCTTGTGTGCTTGTCGACACGATGTGAGGGTGTGTGAGGGTGTGTGAATCTGTGTGTGCTTGTCCACACGATGTGACGGTGTGCGAGGGTGTGTGAGTCAGTGTGCTTGTCCACACGATGTGACGGTGTGCGAGGGTGTGTGAATCTGTGTGCTTGTCCACACGATGTGACGGTGTGCGAGGGTGTGTGAATCTGTGTGCTTGTCCACACGATGTGATGGTGTGCAAGGGTGTGTGAATCTGTGTGCTTGTCCACACGATGTGACGGTGTGCGAGGGTGTGTGAATGTGTGTGCTTGTCCACAAGATGTAATGGTGTGCGAGGGTGTGTGAATGTGTGTGCTTGTCCACAAGATGTGACGGTGTGCGAGGGTGTGTGAATCCGTGTGCTTGTCCACACGATGGTGTGCGAGGGTGTGTAAATCCGTGTGCTTGTCCACATGATGTGAGGGTGTGTGAGGGTGTGTGAATGTGTGTGCTTGTCCACACGATGTGACGGTGTGCGAGGGTGTGTGAATCAGTGTGCTTGTCCACACGATGTGAGGGTGTGCGAGGGTGTGTAAATCGTGTGTGCTTGTCCACACGATGGTGTGCGAGGGTGTGTAAATCGTGTGTGCTTGTCCACACGAAGCGGTGAAGCGGGAGGAGAGGCTCTGCCCGCTGCTCACGTTCCCCTTGTGTTTCGTGGTGTCCACTTACTCTGGGCGCAGACTCCTCCGAACGTGCTCCAGCCCCTCCCAGACTCTCAGTTTCCCTCTCAGCCTCCGAGCCGCACACGGCGCCCTCCCAGCCACCACCTTGGGTGAAGCCTCTGTCTTCCAGGTCCTGACCATCAGTTTGAGCCCCAGCCTGTCTGTGATCGACCTTTCTAGTTTACGACTGCTATTTGTTGTAGGACATTCTTATCAGAACACCCGCTCCGGACGGGCACTGGATGCTCTTGTTAACGCAGGCTGCGGCTTTTCGATCCATTTCCAGCCTTAGCTATTACCTAACGATGTCGCCAGGGGCTGTGGGGCGTTGGTTGGGCAGCTGCTGTCAGGGACAGGTCTGTGGTGCGTGTGTGTGTGTGTGCATGTGCATGTGGTGTGCGTGTGTGCACACTGTGCATGTGGTGTGTGTGTGTGCATGTGTGTGGGGTGTGTGTGCATGTGCGTGTGGTGTGTGTGCAGTGTGCATGTGGTGTGTGTGCATGTGTGTGTGGTGTGTGCATGTGTGTGCGTGTGTGTGCACTGTGTGTGTGGTGTGTGTGCATTGTGTGTGGTGTACGTGTGTGTGCACTGTGTGTGTGGTGTGTGTGCATGTGCATGTGGTATGTGTGTGTGCACTGTGCATGTGTGTGTGCATTGCGTGTGGTGTGGTGTGTGTGCATGTGCATGTGGTGCGTGTGTGCACTGTGCGTGTGGGTCTTCACCGTGAAGACACGGGTGACGCGGGTCGGGGAAGGGGCCGTGCACAGGCCTTGCTGTGCGGGACATGGGACCCTTGGGGTACTGTGTGTGGTGGGAGCCAACAGACAGACCAGATCACCATGACTGTTCTAGAAGGGTCTGACCTCGTCTCAGGACCGTGGCCCTCGGTGCCTTCCGCTGCCACCGTGGTCCGTCTGCACCAAGCCGGCCACAGCGGGGCAGGTGCGGCTGCGTGGAACTGGGCGGGCGTCAGGCTGCGCTCAGCCTCCCCAGGACCAACACCCACGGGGATTCAAGTGTCCGACCCTTCGGCGCACACCCTTACTCCACACCCAACTGCGGGGGCCAGAGGGGAGGGACGTGGCAGCCTCGCGTCCCGCTGAGCTGGTCGGCAAGAGGGAAGGAGCTGGTGCCTCTCACTCACCTGAACTTGGAGGTGGAGATCCGGCGGCTGGAAGAGAAAAGGGAAAGGTTACCCAGGGCGCAGGAAGGCCGTCCGGGATGCGTGTGTGGGCGTGGGTGGGCGGTGCGCAGGCCCCGTGGCTCTCGCTGGCCACCGGTGACCTGGCAGAGCCGCGGCTCACCCTCCGCCTTCTAGCTGGGACAGCCGGATGGGAAGGGCGGCCTGCCGGACTCAGGGCTCCGGCCGACGGAGGGGGACGGGACACAGGGGACCCAGGGCTCGGCGCCCTCCCGTCTCCACTGTGTTTTTCTGATGGGATGGGAGGGGTCGACGCCTCCGTTCGGGGGGACCCCGGGCATGGCGGGAGGCTCTGCTGGTCCCTGTCCCCGTGGTCCTGCCAGCCCGCCCGCCCCTCTGGGTCCCCCCCGCGTCCCCCCTCCCCGCATCCCCCCTCCCCGCTCCTCCCTCCCCCCCCCCCCCCGCGGGCCGGCCCCGCCCCGCCTACTCACGCCAGCCTGGCCCCGCAGTTCTCGTCCTCCATGTCTCCTCCGGCCACGTTTTCCGTGTTGACGGACTCGGTCTCGCTGGTAGGCATGCTCACTGCGAGAGGCCGAGGGCACAGCAGAGGCGTGGAGAGAGAGAGAGGGGAAGGGAAGAGCGTTAGAGGGTCACAGGCCGTGCGGGCACCCGTGCGGGCTCCCCGCGGCCGGTCTGCTTGGCTGGGGCGCGGTCTGCCACCCCAGGGCCCGGGACAATGCGGGAGGAAGTCTGCCTGGTCAGATTGTTCCACGGGGGGGGGGGGCACGCACTGTGGCCTTTCTCGGCCCTCTGGGGAGCCGTGAGGGCTTCCCAGCGCTTCTAGAACTTGCTATGGATGGGACAGGCTTTTGCGCCCCCCCCCCCCGCCTTCCCCGTGCCAGCCCAACTCCCAAGACCGCGGGAGGAGGCTGCAGTCTGCGTGAACCGCCGCCCTTCCCCACACATGCCCAGCCGTGCGTGAAGCAGCAAGCGCGCAGCGCAGGCATCTGGCGCGGAGGGGCCCCGTGGTAGGAAGAGCATCGGCATCGAGTCCAAATGGGGCCTGAGGTCGGGCTGCCGGGCCACTGAGGAGACGTGGTCTGTCCCTCCAGCAGCCACGCAGCAGGCCGGCGTGGGAGCAAGGCCGTTCACCACGGCGCTGCAGCTGGCGTGTCTCCACCACACGCAGACGCTCCCCGGCAGCCCCGCAGCCTCGCCTTCCAGAAACAACCGTGTTTTCCAGATTACGTCACAGCATGGTGGCTCAGAGGTCATTTCTGTCGTGACTGTTTGTCCCTTGAACATAAAACAAGTCGAGCTTGAAGAATTCTTCTGGGCGCTGCCCCTCAGCTCTTCAGCTCAAGGTGAGTGCTCTACCACTTGAGCCACAGCGCCATTTCTGGTTTTCTAGTCCTGCCCGGGCTGGCTTTGAACCGCGATCTTCAGATTTCAGCCTCCTGAGTAGCCGGGATGACAGGCGTGAGTCACGGCGCCCAGTTTCTGTCACACTTTTATTGTGAGTTGCTTGGCCCTTCCTTCACACTTTTATTGTGAGTTGCTTGGCCCTTCCTTCCTCCCTTCCTCCCTTCCTCCCTCCCTCCCTCCCTCCCTTCCTCCCTCCCTCCCTCCTTCCCTTCCTTCCTTCCTTCTGTCCTTCCTTCCATCCTTCCTTCCATCCTTCCTTCCGTCCCTCCTTGTGGCTTGGCTGGCTTCTGACTTGAGATCCTCCTGCCTTAGCCTCTAAGCGTATGCTATCATGCCCAGAGAGGCCCAGTTCCAGCAACACTTGCTCCTGTAGCGTGGCCTGGTTTTGCTCTCCTTCTGGAACAATCTGGCAGGAACCTCACTGGCCCTCCATGGCTGTGGCTTCTGAGAGGTGGCGGCCGGGGGGTGATGAGCCACTGGGAAAAGACTGCTCCAGGCTGTGCGGATCACGCTGGGGCCAGGGGCTTTTCCAGGCTCTTTCCTTTGGAAGGAAGACAAGTCGGGGGGGGAGGGGAGACACATGTTGAAGAACATGGGAGATGGGACAGAAGCCCACGTGTAGCCGCGTCTCCCTAAAAGCAGGGGAGCGGAGTCTGCAGCCTGAGACTCGTTGGATAAGAGGAAATCCTGGAGAACCCTTAGGGCTGGGTGCGAGTTTGGAATGGCTCCCCACGCCACAGGAGAAGAAGGTGAGGCCCGGGGCCGGGCCGGTCGATGGTCAAGGTCAAGGCTGGGAGCCCGGGGCCCGAGGGCTGGGACCCTGTGCCACGCTCGTCCTGAGCATCTCCAGTGGGTCGGTCCCTGCCCTCAGGCCGTCGGACAGGGCTGTGTGGCACCGTCGGGCTCTGGAGGCCCCGGCCGGGGCAGAGTGGGGCCAGGGCTGGTGCTGAGCTCTGCAGAGCTCATGTCCATCGATAGACCCAGAGGGGCGGGAGCCGGTCTCGAGCGTGGGGCCACGACAGGAGCCAGTCTGTCTCGAGCGTGGGGCTGCGACGGAGCTGGTCTCGAGCGTGGGGCCGCGACGGAGCCGGTCTCGAGCGTGGGGCCGTGACGGGAGCCGGTCTCGAGCGTGGGGCCGTGACGGGAGCCGGTCTGTCTCGAGCGTGGGGCCGCGACGGAGCCGGTCTCGAGCGTGGGGCCGCGATGGGAGCCGGTCTCGAGCGTGGGGCCGTGACAGAGCCAGTCTCGAGCGTGGGGCCGCAACGGGAGCCGGTCTCGAGTGTGGGGCTGCGACGGGAGCCGGTCTCGAGCGTGGGGCCGTGGTGAGGTGGATGGGCTCTCAGCCTTCCAATCTGCCTGTGCCCCGCCATCTCTGAGCTCGGCAGCCCGGGCCTCTGCGGGCAGCGGCGGTTGTTGGAAGGGGCCGGGCTGTCTGAAGAGGGCCGCCGGCCTCTGCGATCCAGGATGCTGTGTGTGTGAGCACATGCATGTGCGCGTGGGCTGCGGCCTGGGGAGTAAGCGTGTCAGCTTCCGGCCCTCACCCTGACCGAGGCTGGCCAAGTCCAAAAGGAGAGCTCCGTGGGGGAACAGCAAGGTGCGCTGGTCACACACACGCACACACACGCACACACAGGCACGCGCGCACACACGTACACACACATACACACACGCACACACGTGCACACACTCACATACACACGCACACATACACACCCCACGCACACACATATACACACACGCACGCGCACACGCGCGTGCACACACACGCGTGTGCACACATGTACACATGCACGCACACACGCACACACTCTCATACACACGCACACATACGCACCCCCCCCACATGCACACACATACACACATGCACGCACACATACATGTGCGCACACCCACGCACACACACACATGCACATACACGCACACACACGTGTACATACACACGCACACATAGGCACCCCCACGCACACACATGCACACATGCACGCACACACATACATGTGTGCACACCCACGTACACACATACACATGCATGCATATACACGCACACCCGCACACATGTGCACACACTCACACGCACACATACGCACCCCCACACGCACACACATGCACACACATACACACATGCACGTGCCCCACGTACACACATACACATGCATGCACACACGTGCACACAGACACATGCACACACACACACATGTGCACACGCACACACACGCACACACGCACATAAACACGCACACACACATGCGCACACATACACACACGAATACCGTGCCACAAGCATGGGGAGCAGCAGTGTGGACCGACACGCGTGTGCACATGCACACGGAGCGCAGGGCCACGTTACCGTGGGTTTCTGTGGAGTGACTAAACCAAGCAAACTTCCCCTTCTTCTGATCCCGAAAGCTGGCTGGGGCACTTCCTTCCTCAGACAAGGTGGCCGGGGGAGACAGGGAGAGGCCGCCGGCAGCGGGCAGGCCGCCGGCCGCGGGCGGGGGAGAGACACAACTCAGTTTTCATCTCCAAACACGAACCCGAATAAAAATTAAAGCAGCAACAAACCAACACATGCACGTGTGTGCGCGCACACACACACGCACACACACACAGAATCCAACAAAATGGAACCCAAACTCCAAATCACTTAACACAGAACAGAGGGCAGATGACCAGCCTGGAAGAAACTGGGAGAGGAGACTTCCTGCGCCTGCCAGTGCCTCCTGGGCAACTCCTGAGACGGTGCCCTTGCTCTGGCACCCGTTGGCTGGGCCGCTCGGCCTCTCTGACCCCCAACAAGACCCGGCCCCCAGCTCCGGCCCCATCTTTCCCCTGCCGAGTGATCCGGGTGGGTTAGTGAGCCTCCCCGGCACCCCCCGCCCCGCCTCCTCCCTCCTGAGACCATCGACGCCAAGAGCTTTTGGTGCCAGCTAAGCCGGAGTAATTATCTGCAGAAAGAACTCGGTAAGCCGCAAAGTGCCGTGAGTATTTGCTCATCTCACCCGGCAGCTGGAAGCCGTCTTCCTTCAATTGGTGGCTGCGGGAGCCTTAGGTTTGTCCTGACCAAATCAGGGGTTTTTCTCAAGGCCGGAGGCCTTAGCCGTCCACCCCGCTCCTGTGTGACCCTGCGCGGCCCCCGTAACGCGCTCTGTGTGGTCACCGTGGTCAGGCTCTCTCTGTGCTCTCTCTGTGTGTGGGGGCCTCCGGGAGGCCACCCGTGGGGCTGGGGAGGGGGGGTGCGCCCTGATCCACGGCTGACATTAGTGCCCCAGGGCGGAGCCGACCCCTGGCAGAGCATGGCCACACGGGGCGGCTTCTGGGACGGCTTTGTTCCAACAGAAGTGGACATTGCGGGGGAGATGACCACTCCAAGGTGCCCGTGGTGGGCCCCGCAGGGATGGGCTTGCTTCTCCTATGGCGTCCACACTGGTCAGAGACAGGCCACATGGGCTTTCTCCCACGGGGCCCCAGGGATCTCCTGAACACCGATGTCAGGAAGGACCGTGTTTGGAAGGACCAAACGCCCCCGCAGCTCTGCGCTCGGGTAGCGCTCACCGTCTCCCCTATTCCACGGGGGAAGAAGGGAGGGTGGGGCTGGAAAACCAGGCCGAGCTGTTCACACAGGTAAGAGACGGCGATGGAGGAAGAGGAGACAGACGCGAGGGGTGAGCAGGCCCCGGCAGGCTGCCCGGGCGGAGAGTTCCTAGGGAGGCGCCACCTGCATCGAGAAGGTTCTCAGCAGCCGCCTGCCATTCCCGGGCCCAGCGTGACTTCTTCCAGAGAAGCAATTAAAACTGGGTTGATTTTTAAGCCGTCAGAAAGCAAAATATAAAACAGGATTAAATATTAAGAAGCCAAACAAAGTGGCCTTATTAAAAAAGGCACCATCGAAGCGCGATGGGCTATCACCATCATTATTATTACTGCTATAAACCGGGGCAGGGACATAAATGCCTGTCCTTGATCTGCAGTCATAATCCAGAGCAAAAGGAAAGGCACTGGGGTTATTGTGCTCTTAGTGGGCCATAAACATCCAGGGCTCCCGAGCAGAAAACTCCTCCTGGGTACCAGGGAGCCGGGCCACCTCCGTCATTACCGGGAGGGGAGGGGAGGGGGAGGAGGGCTGAGGGAAGGGGACGGGGGGGGGGGGGGAGTGGGGG